CCTCTGCATTTAAAAATCCAGCCTCCACTCCCTCCCCACTATGCCCTCCACAGCGCCATCCCACTAACCTGGGGATCCTTTATTTAGCCATGGCTTTAATGGCAACAGCAGCTTCCTCGGTCATTGCAGACAGCACGGTGATCTAAGGGGCAGAAGGGAAAAGATGATTCAGGGGCTGCACTGTTAAGATACTGTTCTCCCCCCATCACTGGCTCCATCCTGATCTGACAGCTCCCCTCACCCCCGAGTCTTTAAGAATGAGGTTGGCTTTAGAACAGCTAGATGGTTAGATCATGGGGCCAGGACTGCTGGGTTCTCTTCCCAGGTGGCAGGGTGACCCTGGGCAAATCACCAACCCCCACACCGGGGGGGGGGGGGAGCCATACAGAGCTGCTGTGCAAGGTGCTCTGAGCTCTGTAAGTGGAAGCACTGCAGAAGACTCAGGGTTTATTTTAATAGGGTCATAGCCAGTGTTCCCCCAGCTTCACAGGTGATTAATCAGCCCCACCCAGTCAGAGGCCCAGGGCTCAGTGCATGTGAAGCTGTGCAGCTTAGAGGAAACACTGCTCATAATTCAGCCTGAGGCTACCTGGGTGTGCTGAGCCTGAGCATATCACAGAGCACTGTGTCCACTGTCTCATCAGGGTTTATTTTAATAGGGTCATAGCCAGTGTTCCCCCAGCTTCACAGGTGATTAATCAGCCCCACCCAGTCAGAGGCCCAGGGCTCAGTGCATGTGAAGCTGTGCAGCTTAGAGGAAACACTGCTCATAATTCAGCCTGAGGCTACCTGGGTGTGCTGAGCCTGAGCATATCACAGAGCACTGTGTCCACTGTCTCAAGAATGTGTTAATTCCCTGCGGGGAAAGGAACGCGAGGACAGGACATTTCAGGGATTCCCCTTATGCACCAACTAGTGATGCTACAAAGCATTTTAGGTAAACGTGTAACTACTGAAAATTTCAGAGGCTAGCTTTTAAGCCAGCTCCCAGCACATACCAACTCCCATGGAATTCATGCCCTCCTTACCCCCTCCCCACCACTGCTGCCTCTGAAACAGTGCAGGGGTGCTGCGTGTAACTGTTCATGTTAACAGATGAGCCCAGGCTCATCAATTAACCATGTACACACTTACACATCCCTAGCACCAGTATTGTCCACTGCAGCAGTACCACCTGGACGGAGTGGGTTCCATGCCATCGCCCCTGAGCTATGAAACTTATGTTACATCCCCCCCCCACTTGCAGTGGATGCAGCTGGGAGCCCCTCATCATGATCCTAGCAGTAGGAATGGGGGGGCATCCCCCACCTTCAGAGCAGCTGCTGCCTCTTACCAGGATCTCTTCTCCGCAGTCATATTTCTGCTCTATCTCTTTGCCCAGCTCCCCTTCAGGCAGACGCAGGTCCTCCCGCACATCCCCGCTGTCCTGGAGGAGGGACAGGTACCCATCCTGGATCCCAATCAGCTGCAAGGCAAGAGGGGCCCATTAGCACCTGCAGGGAAAATGCCACCTCTGGGAAGGGATTCACCTGCTCCTGGCCCTGAGCTCACCCCCAAAGCAGGTGTCCGGAGCAGGGGCAAATTCAAAGGTATTTAGCAGCCCTAGGAGGCAAAGAAACTCAGTGTGAAACTGACATCTGCTCCTTACACCAGTGAAATCAAGGACACCCTAGAGCTTCATTGATTCAACTGGCTTACATTTGGGTTAGGCATAACATCTATTCAGACAGCAGCTTGGTTCCACTTAGTTTGAAAGGGTTTAAAGGGGCAGGGCGGCTTTTAGCACCATTTGAACAAGAGCTCACTTAAATCCAGACCTTCAATACAGCAAAGACCAGCCATCTCCTGCGGCATCAAGCAACTCTCAAAACCAGCTATGCTCTTGCATGATTCTAACCGACCTTGTCTCTGAGCACAATGCAGGCTTCAACTGGCCGCCTCCAGTCCCAACCAGCTCCAGTTCATGAGGCACCAAGCTTGCCCCGCAGTGAGGGAGCCCGCACAATGGAACGGAATCCTAGGGGCAGCGGGTGGAAGACAGCGGCCTAGTTGAGATTGCAGACTGGGCAATCTTGTGATTGAACAAGGGGAACACAGAGGTTCCATGGCTCTTCCACGCTCCCTAGGGTGCACACGATTTACCTTGGACAGGAACACAGATTATAAAGCAAGTGAGGGGCTCTGCAGTTATTCTAACACTCACCCAGAGCTGAACACTGCAGAGGATTGGCCACCAAGTGTCAATTTTAGCTGCTTGGCCACTGCCACAGCTGGGGCATGGCCTGGCAGGTATTTGGCAGTGGGTCCAGACAGGAGAGGATCTGGGCAGGGTTTGAGGCCAAGTGCCGGGGGTCAGCTGCAAGGCCAGTTCCTGAGCATTTCTCCTGCCCCTCCATTGGCCATGCAGACACTCTCCCCTTTACCTGGAAGTCATTTCTCTTGATGTTGGGCACATCCATGTTGTGGGTGGAAGGACAGATATCTTCGTATTTCTTCCCAGTGAAGATGTCTATGCCAACCAGGTGCACCTGGGGGAGAGGAGACAGGGTCACCCTGGGGGGGGGGGCCCTCAGGGCAGTGACTGCATCAGCTGCCCCCACAGGGAAGATACCCCCCCAGCTCACCAATGGAGAAGATCTGGACATACCCCCTTCACAACAGACATTGCAAGTGACCCATCATGCCAGGGCTGCACAGACTCCCTCCTCCGGGGCAACAAAAGAATCCCCATGGGCCAGGGAGAATGAGAGGGTAGCCCCAGCAGGAGGGGGAAGAGAGAGAAGAGGAGAATAAAGGCAGGAATTGTGGTGCACAAGAACTCCAGTGTCACATTTCAAAGATGGGGCTTGTGGGGGAAGGTTTGTCCCTGGGATCCTCTCTGAAGTCAAGGCCAGCCAAAAGGGAGCAGCTCCCAGAGTACAGGATCCTGAGAACAGCAGTTGCTGGACTCCCAGGGAGACCCACTGCCAGGAAGCAGTAGACAGGCGAAGCTAAGGCAGGAATTGTGGTGCACAAGAACTCCAGTGTCACATTTCAAAGATGGGGCTTGTGGGGGAAGGTTTGTCCCTGGGATCCTCTCTGAAGTCAAGGCCAGCCAAAAGGGAGCAGCTCCCAGAGTACAGGATCCTGAGAACAGCAGTTGCTGGACTCCCAGGGAGACCCACTGCCAGGAAGCAGTAGACAGGCGAAGCTAATCTTGCCACCCACACACACACACCCACACCCACCCACCC